ACTGTCAAGACGGTAAATGTGCTGTCGCGTAAAATGATGCATTTTATCTGTATTTTTGTTATTCCTTTTGTTCCGAAATATCATTTACTTACTGATATTGCGGCAAGATGATGAGGGTATAAATTTATTCGCTAACAAGCTAAAATAGGCAAATGTGAAAAAGGTAATTACCGGAGTGAGGCTCTTTGAGTCCAGTGGACAAGGACGACGAGGCTACAGAAATAACGTGAACGTGAACGTGGAACGTGAACGTGGTGAACGTCGAGTGAACGGCGTGGCGAATACCTCGTTCTGGCGAATTTCGCGCCAAATTCGATCTGAATGACGTAGGCTGTGACGTCAGACCCCACATAGACTGTTTCATTTTAAGCTTGACTTACCTATTTCCCTTTTGTATTTTTGGCGGTTACGGCGTAAACCAACTGTTGTAACACTTAACCATTTCGGTTTGTACTAAACCATTTGTCGTCACGCTAAAGCATTTGAGGTCACGCTAAACCATTTCACTTTACGGTGAGGAGATTGATTCGATACTAAACCATTGCGGCTTACGATTAACCATTTGCCGATAACTTAAGCCATTTCACAGTACTCTGAACCGTTTGTGTCAAGTCACTAAAGTACAGTTAGCTGAACCGTTTCTCATTTCGACACCGAACCATTTCAGTTAACACTTGGCCACTTGTGTTTTTCTTGAATCAGTTCAAGAAGGTTGGCTACACAGCTCCTGATTGTATAAACATTTTTGTTTGAATATTTCATTTCACCAAAGGCGACTTGTCCATTTGTATTTTAAAAAAATCTCTTAAGATAAGATCAAGAGAAAATCTCCAGGTCTCTGCAGTTTTGGTGAAACTTTTGCAAGGGTCTGCTTAGGATCATGCTTATGACCACAAGTACTACGTTAGCAATGACCGAAAAATCAGAATGACCAGTAATCGTCCGTTGTACCTTTGCGGCTTACACCAGTCATTGCCAAGATTTGTGTCACAAAATGCGTCCCTGTTTCATGAATATAATTTCAATTGCTGACGCATTGAGAAATGAGAAATTTAAGAGACTAAAATAGCGTCCACGTTAATCATCTGACAGCAGACTTGTAGTTCAGTGAGCTGAGCTTGAAGAAAATCAATTTTGATTTCAATGCGTTCATTCGCCGTTAAGCAAATTCATAAATCTATTCAGCTGGTGTCTATTAATCTTCATTTAAGGTTTAACAGTCAAACTGTCGAACTGAACTGTCAAATCGAAATAGAAGTCAAGCTATCACACGAACGAAAACGGATTTGAAGAGAATTTTGGCAGCTCGTTGAGCCCGTTAAGAGCGTCATGTGGAAGAAAATGTTTAAACGGTTAGTGTTTTGAGTACGTGGTATCTCTGGTTTGTTCTGTTTCATTTCATCAAAAAAAATTAATGCAGAGTCTCGAGTTGACATTAGCTTTCTTATGCAAATATGATACCACTATTAGGATTGGAATCGTTTAAAATGAAGAAAAAAAGAAACAGTTTGCTGATCTTAGCTGAACGTCACGTTAAATGTGAAAGTAGGTTAGTGGCACATGTCGGATCCAGTGGCACGAATTCCTTGGTATATAGGAAGGTCTTAAGCGCGGTTATTCTTCCGCGATTATTCCACCTTTGTGATAGCATAGTTCTACTGAGGATGAGGATGGAGATTTACAACTGTGTAACTGTGTCTTGTTGAAGGTATTGCTTAGTGTATTGATTTCTTTATATGATTGGCAAAATGGGAGTAAAATTTATTATTTAAAGTAAACGTGAATCGAATTTACATTATTCAGAATTAATAGTGATGTTCGTGAATGATTTTGTTTCAGATATATTTCCGCCTTTAAGAGTTTGAAATTTAAAGCCTTAATCAACTCGCCATCTCTGTGTCTTTAAGTCAAACGAGTCACGACTGCGCTGGAAAATGCTGCGTTTTCTTTGAACGACGCAAAGGTTTTCATCGACTACCTCTTAGGAAGCATTACAACAACTTAACCTTTCTTGATTATTGTCTTGTAAAAACACTTTTTCAAGGTCCTCTCTGCGTCTACATCCAAGATGACGGCTACCGACTCGGAGAAGTCTGTAGATTGGCCTGCTGCCATCTTGGACTCGCGATGTAGGTGGACCCTGGGCGAGAGTTTGATTAATTCGCAATCAGATGGCAGAAGAAGCCTTAATTTGGACATTAAAGGACTTGTTTCCAACAAAATGCATCGATTATGTCGCAGAGACTTGGAGGGAGCTCTTTCGTTTTATAGCTGCTACTGTGATGAGAGGACCGAGGAGAGCAAACACTGGCAAGTGAGACTTAAAATTGAGACCCCCTGTGGACTGGGAATGAGTCGAAAGGAAAACTAAGATTTTACTAGACATGATGCTAAGAGGACACCATCCTAAAGTGAACAAAATAAGCATAATAACAACTACTCTGGGGAAGTAAAGAGGTATATGAGTTGCAAGAGACCTGACGTTGCGCGAGGATGGACACGAATGAAAACTGAAACAGACAAGGAGATAGTCACGTCTAATGAAACGCGTAGAAGAATAAAGTTGAGGGCGATGAAAGAAGTGCGCGTAAAAATGGGAATAAAGGAAAAGTACGATGAAAAAAAGGGAAGGAACAAAAGGAAGGAGAAAAAAGAGATGCACAAATGTGAAAAGGTGTAAAAAGGTAAAAAGGGCGCACAGAGGTAACAGTATGAATACGTCCGTCGGCATTCAAAATCGTCTGACAATATGGAGAACGGTAGACAGTGAAAGAGACACAATCGAAGAGCCGACGAGCGTTTGTTAAGTGGGTGGGGGCTTGAAACATGGAATGTCAGTACACTGTCAGCTGCAAAGATTATCAACTTGGCGCACGCGGGTCAAAACAAGCATTGAAGTCCCCGTAGGATCTGTTTTCCCTGCATCTCACGCAAATCCTTAGAATATGGAGACAGACAATGAAAACAAACGCAGTTTTTATATTTTATACACTCTCTATTTATTTTACCCAAAAAAGTAAAAAAAAAGTACAATACAAACTGCATTAAATTGTTCAAGGCATTAAGTAAAGTACGCGCTAAACAGAGACACTAAAATGAACCCATTCATTCCCAAGATTGATCATAACTTAAATTCTCCTCACAAAATTAATGTACCGACAAACATGGTGTCAATAACAATAGAGAAAATCTAAACTAGCGGATTATTTTTCACTAGAAACGTTATGTTTCATCGAATTCTCAGAATCAAGCGACAGAGAAACACATTCTTATCAGTTGGGAGAATTTTTCTTCACAACTTGGGAGTTAATGAGTTAATGAATTAAAACTAAGGTAAATGAACAAATAGCTTCAACTTTAAATACAAATAGCATCAAAACAATTCACACCAAATACACTGACATTATAAAAAGAATGTTTAGTCGGAATTGTTCCAGCTTGTTTTTAAAATCCTACGTTACATCATATTTAACCATGTGCAAGGTTAACTATTACATTTTATAGCAGCATATACCAATGGTAGTTATGAAAATATATCAAACATTAGCATTGATTTGACAAAAATTTCTTTTAAAACAGCTGTGATACAGTATACCTTAATCTTTTGACCACATAACGGGTTCTAATTACAAAGTGTGCTCTGAATACCTAAGTATAAATTCTTAAATCTAAGAAAGATATCATCAGATATCTCCAAATTATACTAAGCTAAATTTAAAGCCATAAAAAAAATTTGAACGTGAAATTTTCAAAAAAGTGCAAGTTTTATCCTGAAGCCCTGAACCTTTTTAACTACGGCCTAGATTTACATTTATTCATGAACATTTTCACCAAAATAATTCCCATTGAGGACTACATGGCTTACCTCAAGCGTTTCCCTAATTTATTGGCGTAAATATTTTCCTAATGAAAACAACAAATTTCATGTCACATACATTAAAAGTCACAGCAATGGAAACTTTAGTTAAAGTAAACTCTGTTTCGCTATTTCCTTGTTTAGATTACATGGACAATTTGTCTCTGTTGTCGTTCTCTAAAACAAACTGATGAGTGTTTGATAAAATGGACTAAAATTGATCAAACTCGTTTGATTGAAAGCAGGCCTTTGTAGCCAGCTCTTTGACTTGTTGTAGGCCTTTTTCCTGAGAAATTTCAATTTTTGTTTCAACATTTGTAAGAGTCATATTAGAAAAGTCAAGCGGGCGGAAAACAATTGTAGGCTGGGCCCATGGGACTAGAGGCTGGCCACAGCCCTGAGAGTAGGTCTAATGTCTCTAACATATGGTCAATAAATTCAACAACATCATCTCTGATGATTACTTCTTCAAATTAAGCTTAGAATGGCAATCTTGGCACTGATGGAATTAGATTGTATTAAAATGGATTGAAAAAAAGTTGAAAATGATAATCAATTTTTTGTAAAGATAATTGCAAATTGCAACAAAATAATTTGATGACGTAGAAAAACCATTAAGATCAATTCACATATGGCTGCGAATTTTGCAAATCACATTTTTGAAATTAAAATTTCACCACCTTTTGCAAATGACAAACTGTTTCTTAAGCTTAGAGTATCAACGTAATTAAAACCCGGTGGACAAGCTCCTGGTTGTGTACAAGAAAAGAAGCCTTTAAATTATTTTACACATAACTGATTGCAATAAAGGAATAGATTTGAGTGTCATTTTGGCGAAACGAAAACCTCGTAGTCGCCTTCAACAACTTCAGGCATTAACAGCAGAAGCCTTGTTGCATCTTGTTCTCTTCGCAAGCATCTAAATTTGTAAAGGGAAAAAATAGCAATTCCACTGAACAAAATATACTGAAATAGTCTGTTTTATTTCTTCACCAAAGTAAAGTCACACATCTCAAGTTCCATTTAAAAGTAATGAAAATGTAGTGAAAAGTAATGAAAAATAGCCAAAAAGCGCCAAAATGGAGAAGCATTGAAACCTTCCAAGTTCCTGCGTCATTCATTTTGAGATGAAATAAAAAAGTTTTTATTTATGTGATTTCATATTCAAATTTTCTCTTTCCTTTGCCTTGAAGTCAAGAGTGACGTCATCTCCAATCAGCAAAAAGGGCGCCCAGTGTTTGATGTCGCAGAACTTGTCTGATTCTCTGAGGCTTTTCATGGCCAGGTTCAGTGACTCGCTTGCTGGTTTACCTCCTGCAAGTTGTTGATAAAAGTATTTCATGAACTCAAGAGTAGCCTCGTCATCAATCGCCCACAGGGACACCACAATAGACCGAGCACCAGCCCCCATAAAAGCGCGCGCAATGCCAACCACACCTTCAGCCTTGATCTCGCCCCGGCCGCTGTGGCAGCAACTAAGCACAACAAGTTTGGCCCGAAGTTGAGCATTCAACACATCTCCAATTGTTAAAATGTAATCCTCCTCCGTTGGCACAGTAGATATTCGGTCTGGGTCAGGTGTAAGAGCAATTTCGCCAGTTTCCATACATCCGTGTGCCGCAAAGTGAACTAGGGAAACGGAACCGAGTCTTTTCAACACCTCACGTTTTGTGGCCTGACTGCCAGTGATTGGTGTGATATTCAGAATTTTTCCGATCATATCTACTTCTTTTTTAGCATACTGAAGCTGCTCGAAGACTTTCTTTCCCTCGCTGTTAGTAACCTCGGATACCCACGGATCTCCTACAAGTAACGCACCACTGCTTTTGTGATAATCATCTGGGCAATCGGCAATGAGTCTAAGACTTGCTAACGATGGAGCGATTCGGATTGTGAACGATTCACACAGGTATTTAGAATTACCATCCTTCAATGCAGCGTAAGGAGCGATCCACAGGGGTCCATCAGGAATAATGAGTAGCTCATCCCCTTCAATCAAGTCAGCCACCGGCTTCATAACGATATCATACAAAGTGCTCAAGCATCCGTCTTGTTGGATGTGAGGTTGAGGCTTGGCTTCTTTGGTTTTCTCATACACTTTCGAACGGCCCTCCCTCAAAGCATCTAAAGATCGATTCTCGCATCTCACATTAGAACGAACACCAAGTTGTGTATAGACACCGAGCATGAACGACTCAAAGGACAGGCTAGATCCACTATTCTCTGAAACAAAACCTTTAAGTTTACTTTGTCTTAACTGAACTTGTTTTCCTTCGGACACAACCCAAAGATGGACGTTAGCTTCGTCCACTGCCTGAAAGACAGTGTTTGATGGAACGTTTTTTAAAACTGCGCAATCTTCATCTTCTCCCTTGTGGTGACTTGTTCCACCACAAAACCTGGATTCCATGAGGTCGGTCAGAGCTTGAGCTCGTCCTTTCTCAGCAACAAATAAGGCTTCATCTACATTACCTTGTTCTACGAGAACTCTCCACAAACCCGTATACGCCACTTGATGCTGATTTCGAAAATTAACTTTCCACTCATCTTTAGATATTAGAAGTACTCTCAAGGAATTGAATAAGTTTATGCTAGCTTGGTAATGTTCAACGGCTTTTGGCAGTCCACCTTGCAACTCAAAAACCCATCCTAATGAATAGTAGGCCGTTGCCTCCATGGATTTGTCTCCTACTTCTTTAGCTACTATAAGACGTAGGTTGTGGTACTCTATGGCTTTTTTGAAATCACCCAGACGGCCATAAGCATTGCCAAAACTGCCATAAGCACCACCCTCCCCATGCTTGTCTCCTACTTCTTTAGCTATTTTAAGATGTAGGTTGTGGAACTCTATGGCTTTTTTGAAATCACCCAGACGGTCATAAGCTTTGCCAAGATTACCATAAGCAAAACCCTCCCCATGCTTGTCTCCTACTTCTTTAGCTATTTTAAGATGTAGGTTGTGGTACTCTATGGCTTTTTTGAAATCACCCAGACGGTGATAAGCATTGCCAAGATTACCATAAGCACCACCCTCCCCATGCTTGTCTCCTACTTCTTTAGCTATTTTAAGATCTAGGTTGTGGTACGCTATGGCTTTTTTGAAATCACCCAGACGGTGATAAGCATTGCCAAGATTGCCATAAGCGTTACCCTCCCCATGCTTGTCTCCTACTTCTTTAGCTATTTTAAGATGTAGGTTCTGGTACTCTATGGCTTTTTTGAAATCACCCAGACTTCGATAAGGATTGCCAAGATTGCCATAAGCACCACCCTCCCCATGCTTGTCTCCTACTTCTTTAGCTATTTTAAGATCTAGGTTGTGGTACTCTATGGCTTTTTTGAAATCACCCAGACGGCCATAAGCATTGCCAAGATTGCCATAAGCAAGACCCTCCCCATGCTTGTCTCCTACTTCTTTAGCTATTTTAAGCTGTAGGTTGTGGAACTCTAAGGTTTTTTTGAAATCACCCAGACGGCGATAAGCATTGCCAAGATTGCCATAAGCGTTACCCTCCCCACGCTTGTCTCCTACTTCTTTAGCTATCTTAAGATGTAGGTTGTGGAACTCTATGGCTTTTTTGAAATCACCCAGACTAAGATAAGCATTGCCAAGATTGCCATAAGCGTTACCCTCCCCATGCTTGTCTCCTACTTCTTTAGCTATTTTAAGATGTAGGTTGTGGTACTCTATGGCTTTTTTGAAATCACCCAGACATTGATAAGCATTGCCAAGATTGCCATAAGCGTTACCCTCCCCATGCTTGTCTCCTACTTCTTTAGCTATTTTAAGATGTAGGTTCTGGTACCCTATGGCTTTTTTGAAATCACCCAGACTTTGATAAGCATTGCCAAGATTGCCATAAGCACCACCCTCCCCATGCTTGTCTCCTACTTCTTTAGCTATTTTAAGATCTAGGTTGTGGTACTCTATGGCTTTTTTGAAATCACCCAGACAGTGATAAGCATTGCCAAGATTGCTATAAGCAACACCCTCCCCATGCTTGTCTCCTACTTCTATAGCTATTTTAAGATGTAGGTTGTGGTACTCTATGGCTTTTTTGAAATCACCCAGACTTTGATAAGCATTGCCAAGATTGCCATAAGCGTTACCCTCCCCATGCTTGTCTCCTACTTCTTTAGCTATTTTAAGATGTAGGTTCTGGTACTCTATGGCTTTTTTGAAATCACCCAGACGGTGATAAGCATTGGCAAGATTGCCATAAGCCTTACCCTCTCCATGCTTGTCTCCTACTTCTTTAGCTTTTTTAAGATGTAGGTTCTGGTACTCTATGGCTTTTTCTCCCCGATTATAGAGATCTATGACTTTCTTGACATCACCTGAACTTGCACTACCGTGGTCATGACTAATAGTATCTTTTTCCTCCATGGATTTATCTCTCACTTCACTGACAGACTGAAGTCTTAATGACAACAAGATCCTATTGTTTTTGTCAATCTTTTTTATGTTAAGGGTTAAAAATGTGGAAAAAACAAAAAAGATTATGTTTCTGATCATATTAATATGTAATAGTCCATTTTAACATTTGCGTGCTTGGTTCCCAAACCTCTGAACAAGAAGGTTGATTAAGGGTGACCTTGTTATGATAAAAACATTGCTGCCTTTTAAATGCAAACTACTTTGTTATTATCGTTTCTAGATACTGGTCTCTATCACAACAAGGTCAACTTCAGCCTCACTCCAAATCAAAGGCTTGGCAACTAAGTACACAACTATAAAATGGCCCATTAGGAGGGCTTTGCATGAAAGGTAGAAGATTTATCAACATTCAGTCTTAAAGTCAGTTATGAAGTAAATCTACACTTCAAAAAAAGTGTTTTTTCTGTGTGCAGCCTCAAAATTTAACGCACAATATCTAGATTTAATCCCTAGTTTCCAAAAACTGAGCAGCACTTGCTCAATTTCTAAATTAATATAGCTTTAACATCTGACAAATGCTTTACAGCAGTGGAAGAAATGAGTCTATAACACAAATACATGTCTTTAAAATTTTTATTTGTCCATAGGAAAGCACAACGAAAGTTTCCGAGTCTCTAAGTAGTGGCAAAAGGTCGAAGGCAAGAAAATCTGCATAAGTAATGTAAACATTACCGAGCTTTTTGTTTTGGCTTATTTTAGAGAGATCATCTACCCAAGTACTATGTATAAACTGGATAAAATTTAGTCTTCTAACCCTTTAACTCCCGTGAGTGACCAAAAGAGAATTTCTCCTTACAATAGCAATACAATATCAATCAGATAAGTGTTGAGAGTAAAATAGATATATCAATTTAAAATAGTTAGTTGATGCAATACTCAATTCTCTATACTAACATTACAAGAATTGTATGGTTGACAGTAAGAATAATTACAAATTTGGTCTGGGAAATTAAAGGGTTATGTAAACTAATCTACCAGTTATTGGCATGGATAGTAGAACTAAGTCAAATTGGCTAAAAGGAGTAATTTCATTAATGAGTCATGAGGTAATAACTTCTCCTATGTTTTTAATCACACACACTTAAAGTATATGAGCTGACAAGTTCCCATCATAATTAATACCCTTCTTTGTATTTTCTCCCTTGAAACATCAAATTATGGAAACTTTTTTCCATTATACCCACGGTTAAAAATGAAAGATTCCTTCAAAGGATACAGCTAGTCCCTTATCACACCAAGTGATTGCTTCTTCAAATCTCTTCAATTCAACACAAGCAGTGGCTCCTGTAGGCAACAACACAAAGAAGCATACTATTACTGTAGCTCAATTCTGAGAAAAGAACCTGAAACCATTGAAATCGATCATTACAGACCAGAAGAAAAAAAAAAAGACAAAACAAAACAATACAAAAAACTAAACGGAAAAGAATAAACAGGCCCTATTAGGTTTCAGTTAGATTTATTTAGCCTTACAGACAACTGAAACTTCTAAGAACACTTAAATTAGGATCAACAACTCCCACAAAAACACTAAAAGTTAGGTAAGTCCTGATCCTTCTTTTTAAAACAGCTAGATAGTGACTTCAGAGCGTGTCCAGGAGAGCACCGGGCAGTCGTGCTACATGCCATCTCACCGATTTCAATGAAACTTTGTCAGTTCAAAGGGTCTACCCCAAAACTCCAAAAAACAGCCTGATTTCTGTTTTGGTTCTTTCCAGGGGGAGATAGACCACCCCCCGCTTTTTCTTGGTTTTCACCAAGGAAATCGCTTCAAATAGGTAAAATGTATGAAGCTCTCACTGCGATGGTATTTAACCGATTACTTTGAAGACTTGCACACATATTTTAACATCCTTAATTTATGGCCGCCGCGAGTATCAGTCAGTTTGATCGACGGCTTGTCAATCAACAGAGGCAAATATACGATGGTGTTGTTAGACTTTTTTATTCACTAAATATTTGACAACTTTGAGGTCAAATATCACCCGTTGCTAGAAAGCTACAACACTAATCTTAATTACCCTTTATAACCCATCATTTCATCTCTGAAAATCATCAAAAAAATGATTTGGGCACTATCGTATTTTTGCCTTGGATACTTTTTAAAATCTGCAACTGTGACAAGTTTCTCTCAACTACACCTGTCACGCAATTCTTGCTCTAAGCGGTCACTTGACAAAATAAACCTACATTTTTTAATTCTTTATACAAGATGATTGCTCAAGAAAGGTGAAAAATGTGAAAAACTTTCGAGATAATTTGTAGGAATGGCAAATTTCACGTTTAGAGAGATGCATGTTGACTGAAGATCAATGGGAAAATCGTAGCGTTTCTTTCTTCAGTCGTTTATTACTTTGAAGATTTGCTAAAATCAGGACATAGGGCTCTTGTGCAGAACAAAACATTCATTAGCCTATACTTTGATCGTCTATTATCATTATCGCACAGTTTACAACAAGGAAACTGTAACAGGAGAGGAGATTTTAAGGTCACATGTCGCCTGCTTGTTGACGTACAAACTCTGCCCCCCTTATTTGTTAGGAATTATAATAAAGTTCGCATATAACGCGCGCTGTCATTGGTTGAAAGAGCGTGCTCTATGAGAGTATAGAGCATAGAGCGGAGCTAGAGCTGTCACGCCATCTGCCAATTGTACTAAGTTCGACCTTTTCCGGGACTTCTTTTCAGCTTTTTTTCGATAATTGGAATTTCGAAACTGAAGCTAGCCGGCAAGTAGCAACAGAAGAATCAAACAAAGGTTTGTAAACATACCAGGCACCGTAATTTACGTTATTAAAACGTGAGCGGATACGAAAATCCTCGAAGGAAAAACAAAATAAACATTCCGAGTTTTAAAGATTTTCACGCTCAGTTAGATTGCAAGCTTACGTACGGCAATAAAAATCAAACACAGCTAAAGCTCGTATAGTATATAAAGTTCAGTGTTCAAAAACAAAACAGAACAAAACAGAAATTATGAAAAATATAACCAAACTGGCATAATTGTTAAAATTCATACTAATCATGACGGTGTCTGAGGGAATATGATCATGCTGAAGTTCATCGCGGCTCGCTCATCATGGCGATCTCCGGTCATCACAGTAAAGCAAGCCTCAGAAACTACATCGGCCGCCCTTCGAGTGAAAAAAATAAGAGCTTGCTATGATATCCTTTCCGATACGTTGAGTGGCAATTCACATCAGCCACTGCAACCGAGTTTTGCGGCGCCGTCATCACGAGCGATCTTCGATCTTCCGGTGAATTCGGCTGTCGTTCATTCAAAAAACACTCGCCTTCAACAGTTTGTTTTCTGCTTTGTCATGTGGAAAAAACTCGCGTGTTTTTATGAGCCATAATTCGGCTGAAGTTCACTGAACATTTCACTTCAAGATTCTGTATTAGAGACTCAAAAACTTCACGCAAAAGTGTTAAGTTCGACTTGCCGAACTATTTTACTTTGTAAACTATCGTAGAATGTGAACTTTGACGGTTTTTGAACTTTGATGGTTTGACACTTTTGACAGCTTTAGTCTTGTACAGCCAATCAGATTATTTGAACCATTCTAACAGGGATTCTGATTGGCTTATTGTAGCGTGCTTTATGAGAGTATAGAGCATGCTAACGACATTGTTGTTCGCTTTGGAAATAAAGTTTGTTTTGGAAATTGAAAGTAATGCTTGGGTAATTTAACGGATTCTTTATGATAAAATACGTCTCGTGTTTCTCCCTACACTTCTTTCGTGCTCTAGCCGCTTCCTGCGTGCTTTATAACAGAACAGAGCACAGTCAAGGCTTCTCTATTTGTTAAATATCAATAGCCCCATAAAATCATTAACTACGCCGTGTTTCCAGAAAATAAGACTGGAAAATGTTTTTTCCACTTTCCACCATCAAGAAATTCCACGTATAGGAATAGTATTTGTAGGGTCACTGCGTGACCTTTTATGAGAAGTAAAAATTGTTCATCTTTTTTTTCAAGAAGGCACTTCTAGAAAGTTCCTAATCCTTCTGTTATCTTATTTTCCTGTTTTTTGACTGCAAATGTCATCTGCATTTGCTATTATTTTCGCTGATTGTCATGGCCTTTCCTGCGTGCATGTGCGAGCTAGTTCATATACAGGACTCTTTCGAGTTTCTCTGGCTGGTGTCGGGCTTATGTGTGTAGGTCTGGTTCAAAAGATATCTGCACGCTGCAACACGGGTTCCTATGTTTTCTCCTTTTTCTTTATTTGTATTTTCATTCTCTTGCTTGCATTATCACACATTTATGTTTTTTTATTCCCTCAGCACGTTCCCTCAGATTTGGAATTAGGCCTTGAAAAGTCAATATTGACCAGAACTGAAATCCTCTTCTATCACTATTTGTTTCAGAGAACCCCCCTCATTTGTGACTTTATTTCTCTTTATTTGCTATTTATTTCCATTAGAACATGAAACTAGGTTCTAATAAGTTTTTTTGTCTCGTGACTCCCAAAAACTGTGTTTGCGACAACATCAATTGAGAAATCAAAGGCAATTACGCCTAAGAAATTCGCTTCTAGCCTTCTACCCGCAGAAGGCAACTCCATATAATGAAACGTTCTAAGACCTCTGCAAACTAGAGACATTGGGTGATGTTGAGGAGTGAAATATTTACACTAAATCTGTGACCCTTAAACGGATCACGTACTCGTACATGTAACGTCCGGAAAATGTCACGCATGTATAACACAGTAGGTGCACCTGGCGTATTCTATCCACTGACTTCAATAGTAAAGAGACAACTTATTTACTATTTGTATATGAGCAAGCTTATTTACCCTACTTGAAAAAATTCTTGATGAAGTCTACTATTGTCAGACGAAACGCGTGGGAGATAAATACAAGTTTTTACTTTCTCAGTTCGTGCAGTGATGCTTACTAGTTTGTTCCGTCAAAAATGCTTTTAATGTGAAGTCACGTCGACCTCGACAGAAAAACTAAGCTCACCCTGTCATAATCAATGGTTTGATACCGTAAGTACCAATTTAGGTACATCATCGGGCTTTGATGACAATGATGAAAAAAATGTGCGTTTCCTAACGCTCGCCACGTTTATTATTTGGAAAATTTTTTTACTGGAGGGCGATGTCGCTTAGCTTGGCGCGTCTTGACTCTGGCCGACGAAAATTATCCAGGTGAACTCCATGAAAATCTAGTCAAATGTTTAAAAACTTTGTCTACCCTTGATTTGCACGCAGAAAAAAAAGGCAAATCCCGAACGGTATTTCAAAACACTTTATTCATTAGTCAATTTATGAACTGTTTCATAGCAGCCCGAGGAAAAAGAAAAATTGAAACAACCGGCGTATCGGTTAAATGAATTCCAATTTTTTCAACAAGGAGTTGGTAAGTTCATTTTTCCTTGTAAATTGAAGTGGGGGTCATTTTTTTGTGACAGCTGATCAAAGATAGACATCTCTGAAACGTCTCTGAAACTCTTTTTAAAAAGAGCGTACACTTCCGGTCATATTTTCCTCCTTCTAGCAACAGCGCAACAGACAATGTTAATCCTATGTAGTGTAGGTGTATCAGTTGTATTACGTCTTCATAGTGATGCCATATAAGAAATCGAGTGTCTGAAAAGCCCTCAATTCAATCTAACACTCGAATTGATAAAGTCAAGATGGTGCAGTTGTCTTGTTCATTTGCAACTAACTGTAGAACCAAATGTTACTTTTCTCGCACTGACCAGGGACGGCAACATCTCATACCTCTAAATTCGTGGGTATACAGCTTTAAAAAAAAAACATTCGAGAGACCTCTATGTATCCCAAACATGCGTTTCGTCCGAGATGGAGCTTATTCTAGCGCGTATTGGCTTATTTGGAGATTACGAAGGCCGTGATTTCACGATGTACCTCAAATATCGTGCACAACTTGGTGTGAGATTCAGACCTTCGGGTTCGTAAATGCCAGTTTCCTCCTCATAAAAATCGGAGACATAAAGTGAGAGAGAGATGAATCTGCAGATGGCAGAAGAAATCAAAGCTGGTGGCGAGTCTTTCTGGTGGCGGCAAGGTGACTGTAAACCTAAATAGAACGCGTACTGTAACTGCTATAAATAATAAATAAGATCTTTTGACAGGGAGCCCACGTCACAAAGTGTGGTTTTCAGTGAGGCCCTGCATAAATCTAACGTAAGGATAACAGAAAATATAAATATGGTTATCAAGAATAGGATAAAAGGGTATAATCATTAGAAGAGACTACATGTTTTTAACAAGACGTCTAAAAACTGAAAAATCGGAAATGTTCCTAATGCCGTCTGGGAGAGCGTTCCAGTCATCTACTGCATGACAAATAAACCGATGCTGACCCCATGTACGCTTTGATTGTGGTTTACAAATGTTGTTATTAAAACGAGTGTTATAATCATGTATATCTTTAAAATGATTAAAATTAAAATTCCAATCAATTAGTCCATTCAAGGACTTAAAAACCAAAAATAGACGATGTGATCTTCGCCTTTTTTCCAATGTATCCCAACCAAGTAGATCAAGAGCTTCTGTTGCTGATGAATGCTTTGGCATATCTAAAATTAATTTAGCTGCTTTATTCTGGAGTAATTGGATCTTGTTCATCAGAGTGGTGTTGGATTTATCCCCCCCAAGTCACATCTGCATAATCAAGGATTGGCAGCACCGTGGCTTTTACAAGGAGTTCCCTTGTATTTCTTGGCAGAAGATGTTTTATTCTCTGTAAAACGCCAAGCCTCTGAGACACTTTGGTCTTAATGTAATCCACATGATCAGTCCAAGACAGATTCTCATTGGTAATTACGCCCAGATACTTGAACGAATTGACTCTGTCTAACTCCTTCTCCTTGATTATTAATGTGAATTCTTCTAAGGTGTTAAGTTTCCTTGGACCGCCAATGAGCATGAATTTAGACTTCGAGATATTTAGTGTAAGTTTATGCTCGTAGAGCCACTGAGCTAGCCTGTCTAGATCCTGATTCAACATGGTCTGTAGGTCACGGGCTGATTGAGAAGAGCAGTAGATAGCAGTGTCATCAGCGAATAAGGTGACCGTAGTGTTCCGAAGGACCTTGGGTAGATCGTTGATGTAAATGGAAAATAGTAATGGACCGAGAATAGATCCCTGAGGAACACCAACGGAAACCTTCCGCGCAGGAGAAGAGGCTTGACCAATCACAGTCTTCTGGTAACGAGAGGATAGGTAGGAATGGAACCACTCCAGATTCTTGCTGCGTAATCCTAGAGATTTGAGCTTCCCGAGTAAAATGACATGGTCAACGGTGTCGAAGGCCTTCTTCAGATCAATAAAAACTACACCATTTACTAAACCTTTATCCATATTACTTAGCACTTCATCGGTAAACTGCGTTAGAGCTAAAGCGGTAGATCTTGCACGTCTAAAGCCAAACTGGTTCACAGCAAGCAGGTTGTTGGAGTCAAGGTAGCCGTAAAGTTGAGAATGAACAGCTCTCTCAATTACTTTACTGACCGTGGGCAGGACAGAAATGGGACGATAGTTATCTTTATCGGACTTATCACCTTCTTTGAAAAGAGCAGTCACTTTCGCACATTTCCAAGATGATGGGAATTGACCCTTCTCAAAAGAGAGGTTTATGATATCCCGCAGAGGTGAAGCAAGTACATTTGCTGCATCACGGAGTAAACGTGCACTAATGTTATCTAGTCCTACCGCTTTATTGGTTTTCATTAGGCGCAGCTGCTTTTCAACAAAGGCTGACGTCACATACTTGAGAGAGAACGATAAGGTAGGAACTGCATCGTACTGAGTCGGTTTTAAACCACGAAAGGCCTTTGCAAGGCTCTTGCCGATGCTTGAAAAGTGATTGTTTAGAGTTTCTGCAATGCCTTTGGGGTCAGTCTGCAATTTTCCATGACCAAAAACTGCTTTAATTTCATTGTGGTTAGAGGGAAGTGTCTCTTTAATTGCTTTCCACATCTTGGAGCTGTCACCTTTAGCATCTTCTATCAGCCGACAATAATATTTCGATTTCAGCTTCTTTTCCTCGCTATTCGCACAGTTCCTCAATTTTCGGTACATTTGCCAGTGATACTGCGAGTTCTTACACTTCTGAGCCTGTTTCCAGTGATAATCTCGATCACTCCGAATTTCGAGGAGTTTGTTCGTAACCCACGGTGTCTTTGTCCCCTTCACACGCTTTGATTTTATCGGAGCGTGGTCGTTTGCAATGCTATTGAAAAGACCTTCCCAGAGGAACACGGCATCATCAACATCATTAGCACTTTCGATTATGCTCCAAGGTAAGTTGCTGAGATCACGCAAGAATGCTTCTTTGTTGTAGCTTTTAAAACAACGATACTCGAGCAACTTTGGTGGAAGTTTCTTTACACCTCCCTTGATAGTACGGAACACAATGCTATGATCGCTGATGCTTGACTGCAGAACATCGGACTGCACGACCCTGTGAGTGTTGTTAACGAACATCAAGTCTATCGTGGTGCTAGAATTCTCAGTGACCCGAATAGGTTTACAAATAATCTGAGAAAGACTGTGTTGTAATGCAAATTCATCAAGTTTACGGCGTAACTGATTCTTGGTGGAATAATCAATATTAAAGTCACCCACCACAACAATATCGGAGTTTTCAGTGTCGATGTAATTTAGCGAATCAGCTAGATTTGAAATAAAACTATCGATGTTCCCATCATTAGGTCTGTAAGAACAACACAGTATCATTCGTTTGCATTTAGGTCTCTTGATTTCCACCCACAGACATTCAAAGTTATGCTTTATGAGATCAGACATAACGATAAAGGGGATTCCATCCCGGACGAAAATTAAAACTCCTCCACCACAACTTTTGGTCAAACACTGTCTATCCACGCACAAGCGAGTACCCTGGTATCGTGATCTCATTGTCCAAAATATTTGGAGCTAGCCAGGTTTCAGAAAGAGTCAAGATGTCGAAGGAGTGTTTGTGAACGAGTTCCTTTACATGATCGAGTTTGTTTACCAAACGATTAACGTTTAAATGAGCAATCTTGAAACCCCGTAACATGCGAACGTCAGAATGAAAATCGTTATTGTCTGACCGTTGCTGAGTAGTAGTATTGCAATTAGAGTCATCTAAACAGTCTATGCCAGGAAACAGACAAGTAAAACACATCCAGGTAGAAGATTCATTAGTTGCGAGAGAATAATATTCATCAACGCCCATGTTCAAGCATTTAGCATGGTGCCATTTGTCGCAACCGTCACACTGAATAGCTCTTTGGTTTGAGCGACATCCTTTAGAACAAATAGCACACGGATCTTTCACCGGACCGGGGTTGGAGCTCACATACCCGACTAAGAGCAGTAAGTACGAGACAGAAAGACTGACGTTAGCCAAGTAAATCGAAGCTTGAAGTTTCCAAGATGGCGACGAGGCAATACGTGTTGAGCGTCTTGGTAGACCAGAGTTTCGTCCAGGAAAGCTGGCAGAGTTTAAATTAAGGGCCAGAAACAAGTTTCCATCATCAAAAAGCCTTTCGGGTACAGATGAGATGTTTAGAGATGTTGCAAATAACAATACTAGGACAAGAGACGCGCTACACCGAGAGAGCCAACTGATCGCCATTGTGACACAAGCCCAGCCCTAGATTTTTTTGATGATTTTCAGAGATGAAATGATGGGTTATAAAGGGTAATTAAGATTACTGTTGTAGCTTTCTGGCAACGGGAGATATTTGACCTCAAAGTTGTAAAATATTTAGATGAATCGAAAAGTCTAAAAACACAGTCGTATATTTGCCTCTGTTGATTGACAAGCCGTCAATCAAACTGACTGATACTCGCAGCAGACATCAACTAAGGATGTAAAAATATGTGTGCAAATTCTCAAAGTAATCCGTTAAATACCATCGCAGTGAGAGCTTCATACATTTTACCTATTTGAAGCGACTTCCTTGGTGAAAACCAAGAAAAACTGGGGGGGTGGTCTATCTCCCCCCGGAAAAAAAACCAAAACAGAAACCAGTTTGTCTCTTTGAGTTTTGGGGTAGACCCTTTAAACTGCCAAAGTTTCGTTGAAATCGGTGAGATGGCATGTAGCACGACCGCCCGGTGATCTCGTGGACACGCTCTTAATATATCTGACACCTCTGACTCATTGGACTTAAGGAACTAAAATATTCATGCTGAAATTTAGCTTTGCATTCCACATTGAGTTCTTCATCCCGTTCAAAATAATATTCTCATCATGATTAATGGAAGTAATGGCGTAGCAATCAAGAGCTGGATCAAATGTACATCAGGGTGGTCTCGACCTCTTAATTAAAGTCCATTGAGACAAGATTGAACTCCATTTAACCTCATTTCACCTTAGAGTGTTGAGTTCTTTTGTTATTATTATTATTATAGCACAGCTAACAAATCTAACCTCTCACAATTGCCATAAGGAAAGTTGGATTTAACTCAATGGCTGCTTCTGCATCCCTTAGTGAATCCTGGTGATTTCCTGTTATTGAAATAAATATCTCTGATTAGCCATACATGTTGCAAACCAACTACCATTACTATAATTTTGAGAAAAACTTGTGATGCTCGTTGATATCTGGGGTAAGAGGTTACTTCTTTGTATATTTGAGAGGCCAAGACAAGAGGTAAATTTTTCCGGGCATGCATTCAAAATTATCACCTTTTTCAGAAAACTACTACTGACAACTCAATAGCTTCAAAATAGAAAAAAAAATGCATATTAAAGCTCTCATCATCTTACCAAGTTTAAAATGTGCAATAGCCCTGTTGTTGTGCAGTTTGGCCTTCAGTTCTTTCTCGTTGCAGTTCATTTTAATTCCTTTGGTGTAAAAATGAATAGCATTGATGAAATCTCCTTTCTTGAAGGCCTCATTACCCTCATTTCTATAAACATCAGCTGTGGCTGCAAAGAAAAAATAAAATAATTCGAAAAAAAATTTAAAAATAGGTGTCAAAGTCTGTGGTCGTAGTTAATAATTATTAGTGTATAATCAGAGCTGCCAAGATCTGGATATTTAAAATCTGCAGATTTTCAACAGTTATGATGATGCCAATGATGTAGGTGACAACATGGGTAAGAATAATGATGAGAGTTAAGCATCACTCAACTTGAGGAAAACCCCTGGGCATTTAAATTTTTGGAGATAGGTTTCCTAAAATTCCCATTCCCTGGGCAAAGTTAATAAAATGTTCAAATGCCCCACACAATTTTATGTAAAAGGCGAAATAATTAGCAATTTGATTTTCAATTAGTTGATCAAGCTTTAAAAACTAATTGACCAAGCTTTAAAACCGAGACCTTGAAGCTTTATTTCTTCTGACCCATTTGTTAGTGAAAGTACACTATCTACCTTAAACACCTCCATATTCAATGATAATTAACACATATACTCTGCTGGAAATTAGATGTGACAGTTTTTATTTCAAATCCCCTAACGCCAGTCAGGCAGGGTTAACCCCACCACCCTCTTTGGCTTGGATGAAGATCAAATACCTGTGGGTTGCTCGAGGAGAAGGGGGGGAATGTTGAAGGTTTCAAAGTGATTGTGTTTCATTAAAATAGAACGATGATGGTGATGGTGATGGTGATGGTAATGATGATGATGATGGTACCTATGATGCAAACTTACACAATGGATGTTATATGATGATCAAATAAAGTCTTAACTTACTATAACTTTGTGTTATTGCTTTGAACTGTTAGAAAAGAAAATAGCAAAAGTTTTTGTGTCATAGATCTTCTCAATGAACAGCATATTGTAATCATAGAAGAGAGTCATGACTGGTCAAATATCCTTTAAAGTGGTCATACAGTGTATGTATCCTTTTCCACATCTGCTTGCATTCTTGAAACTGATCCTGATCGAATAGAAATTGTTCTAAGAATTACTGAAACCGAAGTTGAACCTAGCTCACCTCGTAAAGTGTCCTCGTCAAAATTTGGTGCATTTTCTTTGTCAGGTAAGTCTTCATTTTCACATGGAACTTTAATTGAACTTCTTCCTGTAGCCATAGCAACTGTTAGAAGACTGATGCTTCTTACAAAGTTGTTCTTTTAAGTCATCCTGGCCTGAAAAAAAAATGATTGAAAATGGTTATAAACATCAGCTCAACATGTTACCCAGTTGCAAAATATATATTTTTTCCTTGCTGAGAATGGGAGGGATACATAGACACAAAATCAGAAGCCAATTAAGAGCTAATGTCAACATGCATCAGACAAACGGCGGCAAGTCACCCAAATTCGTTTTCTCTCCTACTTTCATATTTTGTAGCCCAATATGTCCTTATAATTGTGGTGTAGTTTTTTTGTGAAAATACATTTTAGTTTTTGAGAAATGATGTTTTTCGTTGGACCGCTCAAATATGCAAATTTTCACTCTGAATATTGCCCGAGTTGTGTCACCTCATGTAACGAATTTACTTGACCTCCGGTATTTCTGTCGGCATAATCCTTTGTTTTATCAACTAAACTTAATCCCCTGACATTATTGAGGATGGCAAAGAAATATTTATTTTTTGGTAAATATTTTTGTCCGACATACTTTTTCTATGTCGGAAAGTAGCATCAAAACAAAGACAGTTTTAACAATGACCGATATGACAAAATCTACTGAGCTTCTAGCTTTTAAAAGAAAAAAGGATGGTTATAGAGTTACTGTAAAAATTTCCTTGTGCAATTGTGTTGTTCTATTGTGAGACGAACTCAAAGTCCGGCAAAATTTACTTGCTAGCGACTATGAAATATACATGGTGTGCCTACTTGTCGCCACCTTTTATTGGCATATCGAGGCATAAATCACTACAATTTGCAAAAAAATCTAACACAACACTCTTACCTAGTTTATTTATGGTTTTATAAGACCAATAACTGTTTCGGTCATTATATTACGCTTGGGTATTACTTTTTGCCGGGAGCTCAGCTTTTACGTTGTGTTTTTCTCCTATCCCAGTTATATTAGAAGCTAGTCACGCAATAATTGATACCAACACAAATGAATATTTACCCTGTATGAAGATTTTTGTTAATGTTGAATTGACAATATTACAGTATGTTACTTTTGTGGTCACTAATCGTTGTTTCAGTGGCAGCGTAGCAGTTCAAAGCGGGTTGTTGCTTCAACGCGATGAAATTTATAGTGTTCTGGCAGGAAAGCAAAGCATGATGGGAATAAAAACTCTTTGTGGCCTTTTACATGATATCGGGATGAGTTTTGTTCAAGAACGAGTTCATCCCGGTTGTCGCATGACACCAGAGTAAAATTATTCGAAAGGAGTCATTTGTGAATGAGTTTATTGAGGTTTTCATTCCAGAACGAAACATTTATTCTGGACGACCTTTTGTACCTGTGTAAAGTAAACGCGGTACGACACTCATATCTGTATGAATCCTCTTTAGGAGCGAGGGAAGCATAGAAAAAGGACGTAAATACTTATTTTTACTACTCGTTTTTATAATCCAAATTATCTTGCATGTAAACGCGGCATGAAATTCATTTCATTCCGGAATGAAACCCATTTTGGAATAATGTAAAAGATACCTTATTAACAGACCATTAGATTTTTGATGCGGGGAAGGGGGGGAGGGGGGTCTTTTGCCAATTGCACGATTTGTCTTCTTCCATTGAGCCCGTGCTCGATTTTTTCGGGGGTTATTGCCCAACACCCCAACACCCCAACACCCCCCCCCCGCCCGCATCAAAAATCTAATGGTCCTTCCCTAAGATGCTATCAGGTCCTACAACTTTTCCTGTGATGAAAGAATTTGGATATATAAGTTTTACTCGCGTTGTTGTTGATGTTTTTTTTTTTTACATTACCGAGCGAATTTCAAGTGATAATTTCAGGAAGTAAGAAGCAACAACAAAAGGATTCTTATCAAAGCGAGGTGCCATTTTCAGTCATACCTGGTCGGACACCTTGAAAACAAAGTGTGACACGCAAGCAGTTTACTGCAAATTTGACATGAAAATAATTCTGATGCCTCTTTGAAAAGAGAAAAAGGCGTGAACAGTAGACATCGCGAGATCTTTGGCTATGTTATAAAAGAATACTTTATGCACTAGAAGTACACAGATCAAGTTCCGGATGCACCTGAAAAGTCTGTTTAACAAATGCAGACGTACAGTTATTTTAATCCCTACCAAATTATGTCAAGACGAACAAAACAAAAAAAGTACAGCCGTCCTGCCTCGAAGCAGGACAGATTTTGTCAACATAAAAATCTGACAGATCAGTGCCAAAAGTTGTTATAAGTAAATAACCACTTTACGTGAATTTTACGAGGTAAGACTGACAGCTCGTAGTTGACAAATCACATCTTTTGTTTTTAGGTGCTGACAGGGTTGGTGGGGCGGGTGGGGGAGGTGGGGGAGGTGGGGGAAGAGGCGATCAGAAATGGGTGAGGATGCTTTTCGTACCTTTCAGGGGTCAAAATCAGTGATCTGGTACCTTTTATGGTGTCTCCAACTTTAGTGAACTACCAGAGACCTAGCTGGTACCTTTTAAGATGTTTCTCGCTCAATAAAATACCTGAAATAAGCATTTGATAAGCACTACGACGATTTTAATGATCTGACTTGAGCCTCTAGAGCACATCGATAAAGAAGTTCTCATTTTTGGGATTTTTCAATTTTTTTGAGTTTAAATTGATACTTTATAGGGGGTAGATATCTGTTATTGCCACTCCCACACGGATAAGACTCAGGTACCTTTTATAATTTTATATGGGTCGTTTTCGAAATTCCGGCGCGCATCCTCGCCCTCTTATATATAGGGGTTCCCTGGGGGGTGCTGATACGTGCAGCACACTTGAAATTTAGTAAAGGCAAATTTTGATGTGATTTTCGGTGAAGAGAAAAAAGTTTTGTCAGCGTCTTGTAGCTACTGCGGAAGGGCCCTTTACCACTGTGTGCTTAATTACGCGTCCCGCCAGATTGCAGGAAGCCCACAAACTGCTCAGACATTAGTATAGAAAACTTCGCCTCTGTCTGGATTTTTTAAAATTTCAAGATTTACAAAATACAGTCCCTATTGACTGAGATAAATTGGGCAAAAAATCATCATCTGTATGTTGCAAGTTCGTATAATTCGTAACAGAAGCAATTGAAATTATTTAAACCAGAGGCTGTAGTAGGTTAATAGGTAAAGTCTTTATTTAAGCAGTGGCCCATCCAGGCCCTGAGCTTATAATCCTGGATTCCTCACATGAAGTGACTAGGTATTACTACTCCTCCCTGGACATGATGACAGTCCACCCCATGGTTGCCCCCCCCTCCCCCCTCCCTCTTCCCTCCTGTCATTTCATTAGGTTTCCCTGACTAATGTCTGGTACCCATTTATACTCCTGGGTGGAGAGGGGTACTATGAGAGTAAATTATTTTGCACAAAAACACATGACCTGGCCAGGTTACATATGCAGATCTCTTGACCCTGACTCCACCTCACTAATCATAAGGCCACCATGTCTCCACAAGAGGGGAGAGTTTATGGTGAATCCTTTCTCATAAGAAACAACTTTTGCAAAACCAAAGTAAAATTCTCTTAGCTGATTTTTAAATAGGGATTGCTGGTCAAAACTTACAAAATGTGTAAGTTTTTTATTCAATTTCCTCCAGTTGAACCGGCATCCATATGTGTGCAGCTGGCTGTTAGTTCAACTGGACACTTATGACAGGAAAAACAATGAAATATATACACTAATGCATGCTGATGTATGTTGTTATGGATTTCAATTTGGTACAGGTGCTGATGTTAGTGGTTTACCGGTATATGTATATTAAACTAATTGTTTTTGCAATCATTTCATGTTTACTCTGTTTAGTGCTCAGAATTGATTTGTCTTTGATGCTAACTTTAACAATCCTGATAATCCAGACTAGTTGTTTTTCAAATATCATAAAAT